TGTGCACTAATTAGATTTTACAGCACAAATGAAAACCAAACGTCAGAAAATAAAGATCTACATTTTATTATCTAATTATAAAACCCGTTGTCGTTACGACATATGATGTGCACTAATTAGATTTTACAGCACAAATGAAAACCAAATGTCAGAAAATAAAGATCTACATTTTATTATCTAATTATAAAACCCTCCTAGGAAGTAATTTTAAGGTGTCCTTGTTACACGTTACATGTACTTACTATTATAATAACAATAAATTATGCATAATTACATGCAAGTAACCCTAAGCCAAACCCTAATCCTAACCCTAACCATAGAGTTGTCAGAAATATGGACTGTCTGTGTTGTGTTTTGCTCCCCATGACCTAGTTTTCCCTGAGTGTTACATGCCCATATTTGGTTTCCTTCTTGTTCCTGTTCCTATTGTGTTTCATTGAGTCCAGGTGTGTCTCGTCATCCCCTCGTTTAGTTGAGTACTTTAGCCCTGTGTGTTCCCATGTCTAGCGTCCAGTGTTATTCGTCATTTAGTGCTATGTGTGTCTCCTGCGTGCCCTGTGTTCCCTGGAATTTGGATCATTAAAGACTCTCTTATTTGTGTTTTCTCCACGTCTCCTCGCTCCTCACAGTAGCAGTGTGACAGAACACTGGACCTTTAAAAATATTTTATTTGCGTTGTTCCCCTGGTTTTTTTTTTTTTGCGTTTTTACAGTGTTTGTTTTCTGTTTTCCCCGTGTTGCCCATGGATTCCCTCACTGCAAAGTTTACCTCTCTCGCCCGCAAGGACCTTTCCCTTTTGGAGTATGCTGTGGAGTTCAGCCAGCTCGCCGTTTTAACGGTGTTCGACGACACTGCGCTGAACTCCCTGTTCTGGATCGGGGCCAACTACTACCGCCCCGTCGACTCTGGAGAGTGTCTACCCCAGATCCAGAATACAGCCAGACCCAGAGCCCAAACCCACCATCACCCCGCTGCGTGGAGCAAGAGCATGAGCCCACCACTGACGGAGAGCCATCGCATAGGTGTGCAACAGAGCTGAGGATCTCCACGGAGCCAGAGCCTCACGGATCGTCAGACCAGGTGCGAGAGCCGGCTACAACGCCCGCCATGAGGGAGAAAGCCGTGTACAGTGAGAGCGCGGAGAGGAGCTCCGCACCGTGGCTGAGGGTGAGCTGAGAAGGGATTTGGGTGAATGGAAAGTGGAGGAAGACTTTATTGACTTGTTTACTGACCTGCCCCCTCTCCTCCCTCCTCCGTCAGTGACCTCTGTCCCTCCCGTTCCTGAGATTAGCCCAGAGTGGGCTCTTGTTCCTGAGTTTAGCCTAATGAGGGCTCCCGTTCCTGAGTTTAGATCAGAGAGGGCTCTCGTTCCTGAGTTTAGATCAGAGAGGGCTCCCGTTCCTGAGTTTACCACAGAGAGGGCTCCCGTTCCTGAGTTTAGCACAGAGAGGGCTCCCGTTCCTGAGTTTAGCCCAGAGAGGGCTCCTGTTCCCACGTCCAGCCCAGAGAGGGCTCCTGTTCCCAAGTTAAGCCCGGAGAGCCCGGAGGCTCCACCATGGCTCCTAGCTCCCTCCTCTCCGCCATGGCCCATCAGTACACTGGCTCCACCGGACTCCCTCGTCCCTCCAGCTCCGTCTTGGTCTGTTGTCGACCATCCGTCGCCTCGGGACTCCACTCCTCTGGCTGCGCCTCGTCCCTCCGGCTCTGTCAGGCTCCTCCATCCCTTCGGCTCCTCCTCAGTCCTCTGTCGCTCCGGCTCCACCGCAGCCTTCTGGATCCCCGCCTCCTCCTCTGGCTCCTCCGCCGCAGTCGGTTGGCCCCCTGGAGTTGTCAGCCCTTCCTCCTCCATGGCTCCTCCCTCCGTCTGCTCCACCGTGGGTCGCCATTTTGGCTGTGGCCTGGGTCCCACCTGGCGCCGCATGCTCCAAGTCCCTCCTGTTTCCTCCTTGGCTCCTCCCTCCATCGTCACCTCCCTGGACTCTTGTCTGCCGGCCCCCTCCCGGGTGTCCGTTCTCCTTCTGAGCCTCGTCCCAAGTTCCCCACCATCCCACCTTCTGTTGTTTCTTCGGCACGAGGACGCGCCTTCCGGGAGAGGGGCGATATGTCAGAAATATGGACTGTCTGTGTTGTGTTTTGCTCCCCATGACCTAGTTTTCCCTCGAGTGTTACATGCCCATATTTGGTTTCCTTCCTGTTCCTGTTCCTATTGTGTTTCATTGAGTCCAGGTGTGTCTCGTCATCTCCTCGTTTAGTTGAGTATTTTAGCCCTGTGTGTTCCCATGTCTTGCGTCCAGTGTTATTTGTCATTTAGTGCTATGTGTGTCTCCTGCGTGCCCTGTGTTCCCTGGAATTTGGATCATTAAAGACTCTCTTATTTGTGTTTTCTCCACGTCTCCTCGCTCCTCACAGTAGCAGTGTGACAAGAGCAAGTACATGTAGTTAATTAATATTACTCCGTACTTAAGTAAGTAATGTTTATTTCTATAGCACCTTTCAAGATCAAGTGTCACAAAGTGCTTTACATCAAAATTGTAAAAAAATAAAAATAAAAAAGATTAAAAATAGACATGACAATTAAAAGAACAGATTAGACAAAAGCAAGTTTGGACGACTATTAAAAGAACAGATTAGACAAAAGCACGTTTGAACAAGTGAGTTTTCAGCTGCTTTTTAAGAATGTCCACAGATCTCAGTTTCAGAGGAAGAGCATTCCACATCTTGGGAGCAACTACTTGAAAGGCACAGTCTTCTTTTGTCTTCAATCTAGAACATGGAACAACTAGCAGGATCTGATTAGAGGATCTCAGATTCCTACTGGAGTTATAGGGTTGCAACATCTCTTTTATATACACAGGAGCTTGACCATGCAATGCTCTAAACACCATCACAAGAATTTTAAAATGAATTCTAAATTTGACAGGGAGCCAATGTAAAGAAATTAAAATTGGGGTTAAGTGAGATCTCTTTGATGACTTAGTTAAAAGCTTAGCAGCAGCATTTTGAACCACTTGTAAGAGTTTCAAGGATGAATTACTAAGACAAGTAAAAAGATAGTTTCAGTAATCAAGGCGGGAGGAAATAAATGCATGTATAACCATTTCCATCTCCGCTGTGGACACAACTGGCCTCAATTTTGCAATGTTTGTCAACTGATAAAAACAATTACGAACCAAATAATTCACATGTTGAACAAGGCTTAAGGCTTGTCCCATACGAACACCTAAATTACGAAGGGTAGATTTAACAGAATGTGATAAAGGACCAAGACTTTCCATCACTTTTGGGAGAACACCAGCAGGAGCCGAGATAAGTACTTCTGTTTTTCTTTTCAGGATTTAACTGTAAGTAATTATTTGCCATCCAGACTTTAATAGAGTTTATACAATTTAAGACAATTTTGTAATTTCATGAGGCTTATAAGAAGTATATATTTGAATATCATCTGCATAGCAATGATAGCGAATGCCTTCAAAATTGCTTATCAGTTTCCCCAGAGGCAGCAAATACAAAGCAAAAAGTAATGGGGCCAAAACGGAACCCTGGGGAACATCACAGGGCACAGGTGCTGTTGATGAGGTATAATTTTGAACTCTTACTGAGAAAGACCTGTCTGATAAGTATGATGAAAACCAATTCAAGGCTGTTCCAGAGATACCAACCTGCTGTCTAAGCCTCACAACTAATATACAGTGATCAACTGCAGCAGTAAGATCCAATAAAACCAGTACAGAGCATTCTCCTGCATCACCTTGCATTAACAAATTGTTTAAAACTCTAAGAAGAGCAGATTCAGTTGAGTGTATACCACGAAAGCCAGATTGGAATTTATCAAACACATTATAACCATCTAAAACAGCTGAGAGTTGATTTACAACTTTTTTCAGGACCTTAGTCATAAAAGGTAACTTAGAAATAGGTCTATAATTTTGGGGTAAGGATAGATCAAGATTTGCTTTCTTTAGAATAGGTTGAACAACAGCTTGTTTAAAATAAACTGGAACTTGACCAGATGTTAATGAATTATTAATTATAGAGAGCACACAGGGACCAATCCTGTCAATAACATTTTTAAACAAGGCAGTGGGTACCACATCCAGAGGACTAGAAAAAGCTTTCATAGAACTAAATACTTTAGTGAGATCATCAAGTGTTATGGGGAAAAATTATCCAGGGTTACTGGCCTGGAGACACAAGGTATTTGAAGTGAAGGAGAAAGAGTTATTTCGTATATTGTTTATCTTATCCACGAAAAAGGAGAGTAAACTGTTGCACTCATCAACTGAAGAGATTTGAACCACAGGTGATGGAGGAGAGTCAATGTTATGTATGGTGTCAAACTAAATTTTGGGATTATGTCTGCTGCTAGATATTAGATTAGAGAAATACTTAATTCTGGCATCCTTAACCTTATTATTAAAATCCATTAAAAGTTCTTTTAAATGCTGATAGTGAACTAGTAGTCGAGTAGATTTCCTCAGACGCTCGGTTTTACGACAAATACGTTTAAAAGAGCTGATACTATCATAGATCCAAGGGGTAGAATTTATCAGACGAGCTGCTCTGGATTTCACTGGAGCAACTTCATCCAAGATCGAAAGGCAATGCTCATTAAAAGATTGTACTTGAACATCATGTAACAAGGACACCTTAAAATAAAGTGTAACCCAGCCATGCACAGTTGCCAGCATTGTTTCGTCACAGACTATCATAAGCATTCGATTCTGTTTGCTTTTTCCTCCTCGATTCGTAATGTACAGTAGCCTATAGCCTAGTTTAGAAGTGTAGGCTTTAGGACACTGCCATCGTGTGGAAACACATTGTATTTTTTCTTTTAATAATATTATCTCATCAGTAGGTTTATTTATTTATTTTTTTAATCTCACTGGTTTACATTCATGCACAGTTCATTCTTGCTTGTAAATCGATCATCTCGACGCCCCCCCTGTTCTCCTCTGCTTCTGAGATTCAGCCTGTGGTTTATGCAGTCATTGAGACGCGCAGCCATTTTTCAGCTGGTGAAACTTTTTCTCAAGTATTTTTATTGCGAACACGGGATCTGTCAGTTGTGGTCTCAAAGGTAAGATATGCATAGGGCCTATTACTTTATTTAGTTTACCTATTTGGCCTTTTCTGTTCGGTTCTATCTTCTGCGTGCAGTTTATATCCCATTATATTAACGTAAACAATATACATGCAATAATAAGCTATTGTAAAGTTTTCATTTCCTTAAACCATCTTCTTCAAAGCTATTTAGAGATTGAGAGTTCAGAATAGAATGGTGTATTATGCTTTATGCGTCAAAAATCTATCTTTAAATAATTTTCAATATGTCATTTGCAGTGTCTGCCATGTATCTTGAGGAGATCTCCCACACGACTGGAGTGACTTTGTTCCTCTGTGCCTTTGCTATGCTCTTGCTGGTTCTCCATGGTCGACGGAGAGAACCAGGCTGCTCCTTGCCCCCAGGTCCCACACCTTGGCCTCTAGTGGGAAACCTTTTCCAGATGGGGGAACAGATCCATTTGTCATTAACAAACCTGAGGGTTCAGTATGGAGATGTGTTCCAGATGAAAATGGGTTCTCTTGTAGTGGTCGTTTTGAGCGGCTATTCTACCATCAAGGAGGCTTTGGTACGTCAAGGAGAGGCGTTTGCTGGACGTCCTGACTTCTTTACCTTCTCTGCAGTTGCTAATGGCACCAGTATGACGTTTAGTGAGAAGTATGGAGAAGCTTGGGTGCTTCACAAAAAGATCTGCAGAAACGCCCTGAAGACCTTCTCCCAAGCTGAGTCCCGAGACTCAAGCGCTTCTTGTCTTTTGGAGGAGCGTATCTGTGCAGAGGCCGTAGATATGATGGAGGCTCTGAAGAAACAAGCAGATGAGTTTGGAGATTCAGGGCTCGACCCAGTTAAGTTGCTAGTGACCTCGGTTGCCAATGTGGTTTGCACTCTATGTTTTGGGAAGCGGTACGCCCATGACGATAAAGAATTCCTCACCATCGTCAACATCAATAATGAAGTGCTGCGCCTCTTTGCTGCAGGGAATCTGGCAGACTTTTTCCCCATTTTCCGCTACCTGCCCAGTCCGTCTCTGCGAAAGCTGCTCCAGTACATTGACAGAATGAACAACTTCATGGAGCGCAACATCAGTGAACATCTCATCACCTTTGATAGGGTAATAATGTTAAAATAAACCAAAGAGAAGAAAAATGCATTCCTGTAGAAGTCTTAACATACTGTATCTATTTCAGATGATTAACTTAAAGAAAAAAAAGATATTTCTAGCCAAAAGAGAAAGGATTAAATTAGCATTTAGTATGCTACATACTGTAATATATATATGTTTTTTAAAGAAGTCTCTTCTGCTCACCAATCCTGCATTTATTTAATCCAAAGTACAGCAAGAACAGTAAAATTGGGAAATTTTTACTATTTAAAATAACTGTTTTCTATTTGAATATATTTTAAAATGTAATTTATTCCTGTGATTTCAAAGCTGAATTTTTTGCGTCATTACTCCAGTCACATGATCATTCAGAAATCATTCTAATATTCTGATTTGCTGCTAAAAAAACAACAACTTATTATTGTTATTTTGAAAATAGCTGATGAATAGAAAGTTCAGAAGAACAGCATTTATCTGAAATATCTTTTGTAATATTATAAATGTCTTTATCACCACTTTTGATCAATTTAAAGCATCCTTGCTAAAGAAAGCTATTAATTTCTATTAAAAAAAAAATACTGACTCCAAGATTTTGAATGGTATAGTGTATAATGTTACAAAAGCTTTTTATTTCAGATAAATGCTGATCTTTGGATCTTTCCATTCATCAAAGAATCCTGAACAAAATGTACTCAACTGTTTTAAATATTGATAATAATAATAATAAACAACCCTCTACGGAACTGGAGATGCAGCTGGATCACGAACAATGGGTACTGATCTATCCTTAGGTTTTAACTTTTTAACAAAACCTGCCTTGAACTGTCCCTTGTTCAGAAAGCAGTCTGGAGTAAAATTATTTGCGCAGATATAAACGAATTTAGGTGTATTCAGTGGCGCATTACCATTAAAAACAAAACTAATGCACTGCGTCCTCAGTGGCTCTGATGATGGGAGAAAATTAAGATTCTTATGTTCTTCTACATCACAAAACTACAAAACACCTGCATTGCTTACAAGACATTGTCGCTACAGCTGCTGGAGCGTGGAGAAAATGATGGCAAGGCGGAGCCGGAGGGACGAGGAAGCCCGGTGGAGCTAGTGGACTGCCAGGCCACGGCGGAGAGGAAGGAGCTAGGAGCCATGGTGGAGCCGACGGGTCCACAGGCTGAGGCGGAGTCCGGGGCTTAGAGGCTGGAGGCGGAGTCAAGGGAAACTCCAGCCACGGCGACGCTGGAGGATGGCAGTCCCGTGGAGCTCGCACCGCATAGATGGTGGTCTGAGGGCGAGCAGAGGGGCTGCCAGACGACAGCGGAGGAGGAGGCAGGAGCGGGTGGGAGGGCTTGCATTTGTGAGCCTCCGGGCATTCGGGACTAAACTCTGGATCAGGAGCCCCCTCTAGGCTGAACACGGGAACAGGATTGCGCTCTGGAGGAGCGGACACTTGAGAGCACTTTCTAGGAGCGGGCTCTGGACTGGATTCGGGGCCTGGAGCCCTCTCCTCTTCGTTTTGGCACCTTCCCCGCGCCATACTCAGTTCACCCTCAGCCGCGGTGCAGGGGGCGGAGCTCCTCTCCATGCTCACACCGTCCGCGGCACTCTCCCTCGTGGCAGGCGTTGTTGCCGGCTCACACACCTTGACTGACGTCATCAGCGGTTCTGGCTCTGCGGCGATCCTCAGCACTGTCGCTCCATGCAGCGATGGCTCGTCGGTCGTGGCGGGCTCTCCGTCAGCGGTGGGCTCGGGCATGCGCTCCACGCATCGGGGAGATGGTGGGCTGTGCTCTGGGTCGGGAGTGGCACTGGCGAGATACTCCTGGGAACAGGCGAGGAACGGAGATCCATTTCTTGCCAGTGTCCACTCCACAAAGGCGGCGAATTCGGCTCGAGGGCCATCTTCGGACGACGGTCCGAGATTCTGTCACGTTACCTACGGAGAGGAACGAGGAGACAAGGCGTAAACGAACACAATAGTCTTTTAATCCAAAATCCAAGGGAATACACGGGGCAGACAGGAGCACAGGTAACACGTGGGTTGATGTACAATCTCGGACAAAGATAGACAGCACAGACTCGAACTTAAATGCAAGGGATAATTAACAAACAGTTTTCAGATTAAATATATTAGATCAAATTTGCAGTTTGCAAGCTAAAGTTTACAAGCTTGTGTACTTTTTGTCCTAAAATGAAGTCTCTTTTGTAGTGGGTGGGTGGTATCTTGTAAGTAAATTGCAGGGGTCAACTACACATCTACACACAAAGAGCTCATATTTCTGTACACAGTGGCCTTCATTCCCTCAGGGTCTAGTCCACTCGGTTCTCACATGATTGGTCACAGTAATGTGTTGATGCCAGACTGCCTCTGGAATCGAAACCAATGAGGTCTGTAATGGGAGCAAGTTTCTTTTTTTCTTTTAAAGAAGTCTTCCAGTGCTAAAACAGTTTATGAGGTCCAAAGTAAAACTGGCAAATCCAGTTTAAAGTTCATATGGTATTTCTTCATCTTCTGTTCTGGTCATTTATTATTTGTTGTATGCGCTTTCCTAGAAAACCAGGTTGGTATGAACAGGTTACCACAGTTTAAAGACAAGCCAAACATGCCGTACACAGAAGCTTTCATATATGAAGTGTTTCGTCATGCATCCTATATGCCTTTCACCATACCTCACTGGTGAGTCCATGTTTCTCTCTTTATGTTAATGTTATCACTATAACCATATATCTGTATTGATAAACAGATACCCACATTCCTCCTCTCATTCTCCATCATGTTATCTAGTACAACTGATAACATTACACTAAATGGATACTTCATTCCCAAAGACACATGTGTGTTCATCAACCAATATCAAGTCAATCATGACATGTAAGTATCCGGCCACATTCTTTTTTTTTATATTTGTAAGGCCCTCATGTATATACATACATACAACATTTTTTGTCTTTTTTTACTAAAAAGGAATATTTGGGGTGATGCTGAGGCTTTCCGACCTGAACGTTTCCTTACCCTGTCTGGCCATCTAAATAAAAACCTGACTGAGAGGGTAATGATATTTGGCATTGGAATACGCCGCTGCCTTGGTGACAGCTTCGCCCGTCTGGAGATGTTTGTGTTCTTAACCACCCTGCTGCATCGGCTGCACATAGAGAATGTTCCAGGGCAGGAGCTTGACCTGAGCTCTACATTTGCCCTCACCATGAAGCCCAGGCCCTTCCGAATAAAAATCTCAACTCGTAACTAAGCTATTGCACCTCAGAATGCTTGGTAGAATCGCAGAACAAAGCAAATGTTGGGCATCACTGAACCGCTAAGCTAATTAACCACTACAGTCTTTATTTCTCATGTGGTCTATTCAGCTCAACTGTTACTTGAATATTTGCTATTGTACATAATTGTGTACTCTAAGCATGTCCCTGCATTATTTGTGATAATACATGATAGCTAAGCATCTAAGTTACTGTTTGTACTTTTAGCACAGATATTTGAAGTATCAAATAAGGCGTTATTTCAGTTATTTCAGTGACAGTGAAGGTTTGAAGAGGCCTTTCTGTTGAAAAGCTGCTTTGTGTTAAACTGAATCAGTGTGAGAGAATCAGAATTAATGGTATTGGTGATTTTGCATTAATGAACAAATATTTTTAATAATTAATAAAATGTAATTCAGTTTAATATCAATTTACTATCAAATATTATAGTCTCAAATTATATTTACTGTGAAGTTGTCAAGTCTATATCATTTTACTGAACTCTGTTAACCGTCTTATTTTTAACATCAAGGAATGTAATAGAATATAGGACAAAATTTGCATTTACCACTTGTTTCATTTTTCAAGTTTGTGAAGAGAGCGGACTGTTTCAGATCTGTTTGTCTCTTACAATAATGCATAAGCTGGTATTGATGAAGGAACATTCAAAAGTCTGGGGTTTTAAAAGAAATTTATTATTTTTATTTAGCAATAATGCATTAGATTGATCAAAAGGGACAGTAAAGATTTGTACATTGTTAGAAAAAACTATTTCAAATAAATGTAACTGTTTTTACACATTGATAATAATAAAAATATTTCTTGAGCAGCAAATCAGCATATTAGAATGGTTTCTGAAGGATCATGTGACACTGAAGACTGGAGTAATGATGCTGAAAATTCAGCTTTGCCTTCACTTAAATAAATGACATTTTAAAATATATTAAAATAGAAAACAGTTATTTTAAATTGTAATATTTCACAATATTACTGTTTTTACTGTATTATGATCAAATTAATGCAGACTTCTTTTAAAAAAACAGTGTAGTGTATGAGCATTAAATAAACTGAAATACAGTAATTATGCATGTAATTTACTTTAAAGCTAAAATTTTAAAGTCAATTTTAAGTATCCCTATAGCTCTCTCTCCAGTTACTCTGGCACTTTGTGCACTTGTATTGCTTTATATTTCCCGTTTACAGGCTGTAAAACGGGACTCTAAATTCATGGAGATTGCCATTGTCCTCAAACCTGTCATGTCCCCAGGCCACCCTGTGTTTTGCAGTGAGATCTGACTGCACGACAGCGTCAGTCTGCACAGCTCTCTTGCTCTCATTTGCCTTCTGTATTTGGCAAATGAGCTTCATTTATGCTCATTACCTTTTCACACATTAACAGCATAAGTTGGCCAAGTGACTTATTGGGTTGCATGCGATGGCCTGGCCCACCTTTGCCATCGGCATTAGTTTGACACGCACACTTAAATAAGGGATGAAAAGGGACAGACACTGGGTATAAAGAAAACCAAAATATTATACACAAAGAAGGCCACAACAAACTGAAATTACTGAAATAAAAGATAAATTTGATGATAAAATAACTGATTACTGAAATAAACGATACCTTTGATAATTGTTTTTTTTTTATTAAATGTCATGTTCAAATGTTATGAGAGATGGTCATAAAAATGGTGTAACATGCATACATGGAAATGGTCCTAATTTAAAACAGCCATATGTCCAGTTAGATGATGGAAGTTTACACGTCTTCTTCCACAGGCTGACCTGATTTCAATTTTAAAATCACCTGTGAAGTAAAAAGAGAAGTAGATAAGAGAAAAATGTGTGTTCACCAATTAAAAAGGCATGATTTTGATCATGTGCACACCTCTTTCAGCTGAGCGATTTCCTTGCTGTCTATGTTCCTCTGAGCATTGTTGGTGATGGCTTTCACTCGAGTTGCATAGATGTAAGACATAAACTTATTTTAAAGTGTATATTATTGTATATACCTTAACTGAAAACTTAAAAGTTTTAAAATTTTATTAAGTAGCCTTTATGCTCCAAAACTATAAATATGCTTGTGTGGTTAAAAAAAAAAAAAAAAAAATTATAAAGTTGCAAATTTAATCTGGGAGTTTATTAACTTGCTTAACTGATTTCTTCAATATTTTGAGTTCTGCTAACTTTAGGTTTACAGTGATATGAAGTGAAGTTCAAAAATCTTCAAAAAAAAAAAAAGATTATCAACCTTAATTTTCTTAAGTAGAAAAGGAATATTTAAAGGAATTAAGGACTCATTTTAACAGTCAAGTCACATTTATTTATTTAGCACCTTATAAAATACAGATTTTATACAATTTGGAAAATGTCGAAATAATTTTTCAGCTCAGTTTAGTTCAGTGTTGTTTTAGTTCAATTCAGTAACTGTAAATGTTGCAAGGTTCATCAATTACATATGAAACAAGTTCAGTTAAGCTCTACAGAAGGTAATAGCGCCATAATTCAGCTCAGTTTAGTTCATTAACAGTGTCAGTGTTGATTTTGTTTTCATCTGATGTCAGTGCAGTTAAATTGAATACATCACTGAATATTAATTGTCTTTTAAACCCCAGCTGAGCAAGACAAAGGTGACGGTGGCATAGAGCAGCCTCATGCTGCCATTAACTGAGGTGACTGTGCACGCAAGGTACAGGCAAGGTACTTGGCTCTCACATGAGTGAGGTGAGAGTTTCATCCAGGTTGCAGTCAGAGGGAGAGATGTTGAGGAACATGAGGGTCTTGGCATTGCCGCCCAGTGAGTCCTGCATGAGCTGGGTCAGCTTGTTGTTACGGTAGGGCACATGAGGCTGCTCCATTGACAAAGCTGAAATTACATCTCCGAGGGCACTCAGAGATTTGTTAATAGAGTTTGCCTCCTGGGGAAAAACATACACAAAATGTGGGACAAACAGATTGTTGTGAGAGGTGTTAGAAAAAATCCAAGACAAAAGCTGGGGGTGAAAAGATTCTAGAATAAAAATGAGTAATTAAGAAAATGTCTTTGCCTTAGCAAAATATTAAGGTTGTTAAAAAAATAGCAGGAACACTTTTCAAAGTAAACATTTTAAATGATAAAACAACAGTCAAGAAGACAAGAAGTATTTGGATACTTTCTGATTGTCAAACTTTGTGAACATTTTTATAATCTTTGCAAAAGTGATGCAAGAGCATTTTGATGCTCAGGTGCACTTGAAGCCAACATGAAATGTTCAAATACTTTCTGGGACCACTTTAAATCAGCTTTTATATTTTACTTGTTTCAAACAACCTTCAGCTGGTCATCTTTGGCACCAGTTTTTGCTGCTCTTTCACTTCCTGCCAGGTCCACCAGACTGAGCTTCCCGAAACTCACGCTCCCATTGGTCAGATTCCGGCTCTCAATCATGATGCCAATGATCAGGTGAGAGCGGGAGCTCTCTACATTCATCTCTATAAAGAGATATAATAAAAATGAAAATATCTCAAAATAATTCTATGTAATAAAATTACAACTTGCTGTAAATCTGCATTGTTTGAGGCAGACACATGTGTCTCTCTTATACATAATAACCCTAAATCTTTCATTCAGGCCCGTTCTCAGACATATTATACAGATAAACCCAAGGGCCTCCTTCTTTGTTATAAAGTTTGCTTCACTGCCGGGTCATCATGTTCTTACCATGCATTCATACTGTGTGTAACTAAAGCAATTAATCCAAACCATTTAGTCGGAGTCTTTTAAAGTTTCAAGTTAAGCACATACTTGTGGCCGCAATGTGGCGGTTTGCACAGCCCTGCTCAAATAATGCAAAGAGTTCGCCAGCGCTGGTGGCCTCTTTTGTCTCTGCTCCCTGGGCGAACACAAGCCCCTTTCTGTCCCTCTTAATTTCGATTCGCTTGCTGAAAGCTTCAGCGGGGCTCTCAAAGAGATCCTGTAGGCGGTCATTGTACAGCTCCAGCATGTAGGCTGAAACCTGAGGACGGGCAAAAGAAAGAAGTTTAGTGACTATTGTACATCAGCACATCTCAAGAAACACATACTAAGTGTACCTTAAACTCAAATTTAGACTCATTATCCTGGATGATCTCAAAGATCTTGGTGAATGTTCTTGGAATGATTCCTGGGTTCATTCGATCTCGGTCTCCAACCACTGTGAAGGTTTTCCCTGAACCCGTATGGCCATACGCAAAAATGCATACGTTAAATCCATCGATCGCACACTGGATTAGCCTAGGAAAAATTTGTATCTTAACATGCCACATTTCGTATATATTTAAAAGAAATAGTTCTCTAAAAAAAAATTAAATTTTTTTTTGTCATTTCAAACCATGTGAGTTTATTTCTTCTGTGGAATACTGAAGGGAAAATTCTAAATAATGTAGTTCTTCGCTCTTTTTTAAAACAGATATTATAAATTATAAATGAAGCCTCTGAAACTAAGAATATAGCAGACAGAATTAAATTTTTGAGTGAGCTATTCCTTTAATTTCCATGTTTAGTACAATTCATTTTTCATCAAAATTAATGCAAAGTATGTTTGGGTATCACACTTACCCACTGGACTCTGTGAAGACCTCCTCCTGTGTGCACTCTGGGTTGAAGATCTTGTCAAACTGAACCTCACGAGGTCCTCGAGGGGTCTCCAGGATCACAGAGTAGTCATCAAGACAAGTGACGATGGTGTGACCTCTTTTTGCCTGCTCTGCACGAGTCAATGGCCTTATTTGACAGAATACTCAGATTTTACCTGTACAAGACCAAACATTAAAGTCAGGGACAGCCTGTTTGATTACTGACTTATAGTGAAATAGTGCAGAATCTTAAATATATTTATTATTTATTCTACGCCATCACCTTTTTTCATAAGAATTCATTTTTTTCCAGTTGTAGACAAAATCCCATTTTCAATGTGAGCTCAGATTTTTGCACCTCATTGTATCTTTTAAAATTTGGAGTCAGTAAATTTTTTTATAAAATGTACTACTTTTATTCAGCAAGAATGCATTCAACTGCATTCAATTCAGTGACAGGAAAGACATTTATGTTACAAAATATTTGTATCTCATATGTTGTTCTTTTGAACTTTCTATTAATCAAAGAATATTTAAAGATATGTATTACCGTTTCCACAAAATAATAAGTACACTCGTTTCAACACTGAAACATTAAAAATCTCTTATCGACCCAAATTTTGAATGGTAGTGTGCATATCAAGAATATTCTTCATT